TAAGATGATTGGCTGTGTGACACAAAAGAATGGACCTCATTTACTTCAGAGAACTACCTCTTTGTTCCATCTTATAGAACGGAATTGTTCTCAGCCATTTTACCTTTTTCTCCTCCTTCTCCCTGTTCATAGGACATACCAGAATACAGCAGAGCAACCTATGTTGTGAGGGAGAAGGAGAAGGAGGGCAGGGGTAGTATCTGTGGGTATAAATAGGTTCCCTCCCCTCTCCACCCTACCCCTTATGGTTAATGATGGCATGGAGCAAAAATGAATGTCAGTTATATATCCTTACACACTCAGGCTGACAGTGAAATTCATAGCTAATTTTTCCAATCCCTGACCTGCAACGCAGAGGTGGGAGGATTTTGACTTCCTGAGCACTGTGACTCTGGAATCCGGCCCTGTAGCTAGAGAAGAGAGATTAGGCCATCACAAGCTTTTGAGATTGCCATGTGAGGAATCCTAAATCCAAGAGTTTAGGGATTAGACCTTCAATAGAGAAAAGGGGATTTTGTGAACAGCCTCCCTATGAGAGAACTAAGTGAATCACCTATGTGGCCTCTGCAGGAGGAAAGCAAAGCCTCAGCATAGGGTCACTAAAGATCAGGATTTAACCATTCCTTACTTTCTAGTGAGTCATCCAGTGCAGGTTCGACAATGAAGGGGGTAACTATCTGGCTGTACCAAAAATGTTTCATTTTCAGGGATATCAAAGCCCTCAGAGATTCACCATATGGTTGAATATTTGCACAGATCTCTAGGGGATCAAAAGAGGGATTCCACAAAATCACTGTGTTGTTTGTTCAGTGGTCATGCCACAGAGTTGTGGGGGAATCCAAACCACACTGGATATTATGTTGGTGGGGCCTGGGGAGGGAGTTGTAGGTCTCTGCAGAAAATTATAAATCACTGGAAGGTTAAAGACTTTACCTGATTGCAACTCAAGGTTCACTTTGCCTTGCAAAAGACTTTATGGGGGAATGGTGCTGTACACGACAAAGGGATGGGAATAAATGCTTATTAATCACCTACTTTGTGTCAGGTACTGTGATAAACACTTTTTAAATATCTCATTTCATCCTCATAACAACCTTGGAATATAGGAGCTGCTATTATCTCCATTTTACAGTTGAAGAAAGGCAGACAGAGGTTAAGTGACTTGCCCAGGGTCACACAACTAGTAAGTGGCTGAGACCAAATTTGAACTCTACTCTAGGAGTAGCACTCTATCACCTGCACCATCTGTCTTCCTCTTATAGACATTTGAATGCTTTAGATTTTTTTTATCGTTGATGTTGTTTTTAATGTTCTAATGGGCTCCTCTATGTATTTTAAAGTTTTTTTTTGTTTGTTTATTCTTTATGTATCTGTTGATGGGCTCCTATAAGATCTTTACTTCATCTGTATTTACCATGAGGTAAAATAGTCTCTTCTATAGCTAATATTCATTGTTTATTTTGAGTGTTTGTATAAGACATGGGGATCTCTTTCATCCACATCCGTGGAAACTTAGAAATGAAGCACAGTTAGAGATTTTCTTGGAGCAAACTCTGGCTGGGCACATAGTGAGAACATTGACAGTTTAGAACCCAAGTGAGACTTAGTCTGTGTAAGCCAGAGTCCTCAGGAGTTGGAGGGAAAGGTTGGGTTAAAGGTTAAAATCAGGGAAGTGTTATCAGAATGTAATCTTTTTTTTTTTTTGGCCTTTCCTATAGTGGGCAGTAATCTGGTTGCTGGGAAGGTTTACTTAGCATTCCACCAACTTCTTAGGGACTGGCTTTGACTGTGAATTTGAAGAGGTTTTTGGGAAAGAGAAGGATGCCAAGAGCCAGATGCTTCTGAAGGGATTCAGAAATGAAAGATAGATTTGGGGAGAGAACAAGTTAAAAATGCTGTCTGAGAATAAGATTCTGATTTCTGGACCAGATCTTAAAATCTAAGAATGGTATGGAATGTACCTAACAAGAACTGGTAAAAAAAAATGTGTTTGTCTGATGAGTCTGCTAAAATTATTTTATAGTTTTAATGTTATGCAAGTCATACTATTAAGGGGATACTGTATAGAACAAGAAAAGATAATAACAAAATTCATTTGGAGGAACAAAAAGGTCTAGAATTTCAATGGAAATAAATGGGGAGGGAAGTAGGAATGAAAGGAGCATAGCACTTTCAAACTTCTAATTATACTATAAAACAATGATCATCACACACATTTAGTACTGTCTAAAAAAGCCCAGAAAATCAGTCAAACAGGATAGATAATCAAGAGAAGAAGTAGCAGATAAACTCATCAGAACAGTATTCAACAAACCCAAGAATGTAAAGCACTGGGGGAAAGGAATCCCTTGTTGACAAGAACTTCTGGGATTAGAAAGCACTTTGGCAGCCAGTATTAGACCAGCAGCACATAGCACAATGAGCTCCAAATGGATTTGAGTTAAATGTAAAAGGTCACATAACAAAACAGTAGATAATAGAAGGCTGCACCTTTCTCCACATTGGCTAGAGGGAGAATTCTTAACCAAACAAGGGATAGAGGAGATCATAAGAGAGAAAATAGACAATTTAGAATCCATAAAATTAAAGGGCTTTTGCCTGAGCAGAATTAGCAAGGCTATGATAAGGAAGATTTCTTTGCAACAATTACTTCTGATAAAAGTCTGATATCCAAGATGTATAGGGAATTAACATATATAAAAATAGCCACAACCATTCCTCAAGAGATTAGGGGTTACACCAAATAAAAGATAGATAAAATCTTGCTCCAAATCACTAATAATAAGAGAAAGCAAGCTAAATAACTGAATTTTCACCTCATGCCTATTAAGTTGGTAAATATGGCAAAATATAGTAATACTCAAATGTCATAGGGACTTTGGCTAAATAGGCACACTAACAGGCTGTTGTTGGAGTCCAAATTGGCCCATCTATTCTGAAAAACAATTTGAAATTAACCAAGAAAAGTCTCTATCCTGTTCCTACCCTTTGATTATAGGAACACTTTTTTGTTTTGTTTTGTTTTTGTTAGGCAATGGGGTTAAATGACTTGCCCAGAGTCACACAGCTAGTAAGTGTTATGTGGCTGAGGCTGTATTTGAACTCCGGTCCTCCTGAATCGAGGACCGGTGCTCTATCCACTGTGCCACCTAGCTGCCCCAACACTTTTTAAAGTATCAAAAAAAAAATGGAAACAAAGTATGTACACATTGATTCAAGAATGAGTACAAAATCAAGCCAGGAAGACTTGAGTTCAAGTCCTATTACTGATACACACTGTGTGATGCTAAGCAAGCCATTTAATTTCTCAGTGCCCTGGGAAATTCTCTGAAACTATAGATTACAGAGAAGATATTGATGTGCATTGAAAGAACTCAGGATTTGAACTCTGGTCTTTCTGATTTCAGGCACAGCACTCTATTCACTGTACCATCTAGCTGCCTCTTATGGACGATTTGAAAGCTTTAAATGTTTCCTGTGTCTTCTAATGGGCTCCTCTAAATCCTTTGAGTACTTTATATTGTTTATGTATCTATTTATGGGCTCCTATGACTCTTTTATAACATCTGTATTTGCTGTGAGGTAAACATAAAGACTCCTATACCCAATATGCACTATTGCAATTATTCTTTGTATCTCCACTTTTTTAGAAGTAGACTTCTAAAGTCCTTAGCACTTAGTAGGTGCTTAATAAATACTTATTGACTGACCGAGAGGAATTTCCTCACCAAGTAGTTCCCAATGCCAGAAAAAACACAGGTCCCTATATTAATATAATGGAATATCATTGTGGAATTTAGAGAATCATGGGGAGACATATGAACTGATATCATATGAGTAAGCAGAACTAGCACACTAATAGACATAAGGATGACAATAACATAAATGAAAAGAATGCTAAATGAAGCCAAACTCTGGCTAACTGTAATGACCATTTTCAGTGCCAGGGGAGAGATTAGAAGCAGCTTCTTTCTTTGGGACTAGAGAGGTAGGTGACTACAGGTAAGGAAAGCTGCATACAATATCATATGCGGTCAATGGATCAGTCAATTTTGCTTACTGGTTTCCTTTATCAAAAGAAATATGTTCCAAAAGGACTATGATATAAAAGCAAAAAGAATCAATACATCTAATTTTTAAAGTAATATTTGTCTAAAATCTTACAGATTTAATAAAAAGATAAGGGAGGGAGAAATCTGCCCATAAATCCACCATGCTAGATGGCATAGAGAATAGGTGTAAGGTAGGGAAGAATACTAACAGTAAAAATACCTACAAGTTTATAAGAGGCAAAATCCGAAAAGCACTCACTAATAAAGTTTATAAGCTCAGATGTCTATACAGAAATATGCAAAGTATGGGCAGCAAACAGGATAAACTAAAGTCCTAATACAGTGAGGTGAAGTTTGGACTTAGGAGAGAGGAGAATCATGACTTGAACAAATCCCCATGAATTCCTCAATAGGGGTTTACACGGGAATGTGCTAGAGCTAGCTTGTATGTCCTGCTAGAATCTATTCTTAAATTTTCATTTTAAGCATTCACACCTTGCAAATGAGCAAGTGCTACAAATTAGGGCTTGATTTATTGTTTTATTGATTGTCTAGGCTTAAGAAAATGTTAGAGAAAATGTTAATAATTCCAATTAAATTTAAAGTGTGTCATGAATATGTTTTCCCCAAAAAGTTGTTTGTTAAACATTACTAGCATAGCTCTGGGTCTACAGAACAGTCTGGACACCTTCCTTTATGTCAGTATTATTGTAGTTGAAAACAGGGAGGATTGAGGGATAGAATGTGGGACTCAAAACTTTTTTTAACGTTAAAAATTTTTTAACTTGTAATTGGGAAAAAATTAAACATTAATTTTTTAAAAAAGGAAGATTACATCACTTGGAGTTAGGAAATATCTGGTTTGGCACCTCAAACTTTTATTTGCTATGTGACCCAAGGCCATGAGTTAAACTTTTTGAGTTTCAGTTTCATCCGTTGTGACAGAAATATGCAAGTACTTATTTTAACTAGAAGCTATGTGATACAGAGAAAATAATTTTATTGGGAGTCAGAAGACCTGGTTTTGAATGCCAACTCTGTTGCCAATGTTCTCAGGTAAGGCACATAGTAATCCTGGGCCTCAGATTACTCCTTTATAAAATGGGAAGTGTAGACTATATGACTCTAAGTTTCCTTCCTGCTCTAAAGTTATTATTTTAATATGGATCAAAAAAGGCATGAACAAATGCAAATACCAAGGAAAGACTTAGAGATTAAATAAATTTTTTTATAAATTTTTTAAATGAAAGAAAGAAAAAGAGTGATCTTTAGGGCAAAAAGAGGGGGGTGGTAAAAATAAAAGCACAATAGGGGGTAAAGAGCTGAGTGTAATTTAAAGAAATAGGAGGAATGAAGGTGGAAGGCCAAAACTGAAGCGTCAAAGACTGTCATTTAAGTATCCTACAACTGGATCAATGTGACTTTATTTTGATTTTTACAAAGTAGTAGAGTGGAAGAGTATAACAATGTCAAGAAGGGAAGTGACAGAGTAGAATGGGTGATGTACTTTTATCTGATATACCCTTATAAAGACAATAACAAATAGTAAGGGTTAATGATTTGTATAGTATTTCAGCAAGAAAAAGAGCTACAGGAGAATGGGAGAGAAGTCAGGAGGAAGGGATTAAAACTGGGGAAATGGAAGGGGAAATCAAAACTAAATAAGGTAAGGCTGTCCCACTAAAGAGTACTTCCAATAATCAACAGGCCTCAAACCCATTGGTGACTTAGGGGAATGTCTACCCCAAGCATGTGAAAACTTTTTCTGGTGGAATGGGTGGATGAGAACAATTTGTGGCAATGGCCATGAAGGTTGCTGAATCAGGTGCTATGGACAGCTTAGACCTTATTCAAACATTGAAGAAACCAAGGTCATCCACTGAATCCCAGGCCATTGCCAATCATCTCAACTTTTGTCTTGCTGCTAGAATTTGTTGACTCTGAAAGAGAGAGTGCTTACAACTTTGTGCAATTCTGCCTCCCTTAAATCCAAATCACACTTGAGTCAAGATATCACCCTGTGATGTCATTGGTCTTCTTTGAAACAAAGGACAAACAACTTCCATGGGAGAAGAAATGAAAGGAGATGGCAACCTGATGATGGATTTCATCTTGGGAGAGTTGGTACTTGGGAAATGTCTTTATCTGAGACAATATCGTATCTCCATTAGCAACATCCTGCCTCAGGTGAAAGGATATGTGAAAACCTATGGGAAGTTTGAATAGGGGAAGGAGGAATGGGCCCAGAATAGATATGATATGTCCATTGGAAAGGAAAAGGATCATGGATAGTGCAAATAATACAATTGAAGTACAAAATTTGAGTCACCGGGCAATTTCTACCATGGAACACTACTTTTATCCATATTACCTCCCTCATCAATTAATCCTCCTAAGAGTGAAACAGAACAGAAGAATGGGCATCTATAAAGGTGATAGCTTAGAAATAGGTTAGAAGAGAAAGCTGAAACCTGTGTTTGAGAAGCTTTTACTTCATGATGAATACAAAGAGATTGAAGAAGGAAAGAAAATGATGTAAATAACAAATCAGAGAATAACATTTCAGAATACTTGGAAAAATAATGAAATAAACTAAGAAAAAAACAGAGAAATTCTTAGAAAAAAGTGCAGAAAGTAAATCAACAAAAGAAGTTAGAGGAGAGGAGTATTTTGAACTAATCACTTAACCTCTCAAAGAAGAAGGTGATAAATAGATGATAAATAAAAGAAAGAAAAAATCAATAATTTAAATAAAACTCTCAAACTAGGGAAAATTGAAAAATGAGAGTGTGGAAAAACCTATTGGAATAGGCTTGCATTTGGAGTGATATAGCTTAATAAAAGCTATTCATAGAGAAAAGATATTGACCAAAAAGAGGAAGGGAATATGTGTGTGCATAGATAGATAAATAGATATGACACAAATCAAGGAAAATGCAAACCTAGCTCATATAACTTTAAATATGAGTAAACTAAACAATCCAACAAATTGGAAGGGAGGGACAGAATAGCTAAAAAAAATCATATCCCACGTGTATTGTTTCCAAGAAAAATATCTAAAAATAAATATAATCAAAATGAGAGTCTGGAACAAAAAGTATTATGCTTGATATAAATCAAAAAAATCAGGAGAAGAAATATTGCCAACAGAAGAAAACAAAAATAAAATTTTACAATGTTAACAGAAATAAAAGAGGAAATTACATCGTAATTAACTGAACCAGAGATAATGAACCAATAGCAATATTAAACATATTATTCAAATGACATAGTATCAAAATTAATAAGGAAAAAGTAATTGAACTGAAAAAACTATTATATGTAGGAATATAATAGTAGTAGTAGATTTTAATGTTTCTTTCTCAGAATGGGAAAAAATCTAACGCAGAGATAAACAAAAGGAAATATATGGAACTGAGCAAACTTTGAAAATTCAAAGCTCAAAGAGTTATGCTATCTCCTGAATGCAACCATTAAATAATACATACACATATTTCTTAGTACCACGTAGCAGTTTTAAAGAGGTGTATAGGGTGTTCAGGAAGGACTACCACCTGCGATTGTGAGGGCCTGCTGAGCCCTTTTCAGGGCTGCTCATCCATCTTTGGCATTCCACTTTTCACCCAATTCTTACCTGTGGCTCCAAGAAGCTGTAGCATGTACAGCAGCCATACCCCAGGAGGACCATCTTGACAGACAGGCTAAACCAAGTTGAGGATAAGCAGCAGACCTTAAATTCATTGTTGAATTAGGGGAACGTCTACCCTAAGCACTTGAAGACTTCCCCTGGTGGAATGGGCACGTGAGAACAAACTGTTCCAATGGCCATGAAGGTGGCTAAAGCAGGCACTGTGGAACAACTAGAGCTTGGTTGGACATTGAAGATACCAAGGTCATTCATTGCTTCCAAGGCCATTGCCATTCATCTTGACTTTTGTCTTGCCACTGGACTTCGATGGAAGAGGGAGTGAAGCTGATGGCTTTGTGAAACTCTGCCTCACTTAAATCCAATTCAAATGCAAGTCAAGACACCAGCCATGACATTACTAGTCCTCTTCAAAAAAAATGAAGGACCAACAACAGCATATTTAAAAACAGGCAATTTATTGGGACCCAAATAAATTGCAAATGAATGTTAAATGAAGGCAGGAATACTACACATGTCTTTTTATAGTCCATGGTGGAATAAAAATAGAAACCAATTAAGAGAACACAAGCAAAGGAATCAGACACAAATGAAAATTAATAGTGAAATTGCAGAACATGAGTGAGTCAAAGAATAAACCATAGAAACAACAACTGTAAAAAATGACAGTGATAAGACAACATTCTAAAATTTCTGGGGTTCAGCAAAAACTTTTTTCTCTCCAATTATAAAATTATATATCTAAAAAGACAAATTAACAAAAAAAGAGAGGATTAACAGGATATGCAAGTTCTAAAATTAGAAAACCAAAAAATATTGAAACCCAAAACTAACACAAAAGAGAACATTTTGAAAATTAGAAGACACATAGACAATTTAGAAACCAAAAAGATTATAGAATCAATTTTGTTGTTGTTCAATTATGTCCAACCCTTTGTGCCTCTGTGGTCACTGTCCGTAGGAGTTTTCTTGGAAAAATACTGGACTGGTTTGCCATTTCTTTCTCCAGCAGATGAGGCAAACAAAGGTTAAGTGACTTGTCCAGGATCAAACAGCTAGTGAGTATCTGAGGTCAAATTTGAATTCAGGTCTTCCTAACTCCAGGACCAGCACTATGTCCACTGAGCTTTCTAGTTACCTCCTATAGAAACAATACACAAAACTAAAACCTAGTACTTCAAAAACAAATTTTAAAATTGACAAACCATTAGTCAAGTTGATTAAAAAGAAAAGACAGGAAAATTAGATTGAAACAAGATATAATCTAGATGAAATGACAATTAACTAGGAAGCAATAAAAAGAATTACCTGAACATAATGTATACAATTTATATCCACAAACATGAGAAGTAAAGAGGTAATAGGATATGATCTACAAAAATATAAAACACCTAAGTTAACAGGACACCACATAGAGATCTTAAGTAATCTCAGGAAAGGAAGTTGAACTAGCTATAAAATTAATTATCAAAAAAAGATGGATTTACAAGAAAAAGAAACAATTAACACATGTAATACTTAAGTTCTCCCCATAAGCTGAGAAGAAATATAGTCTTCCTTCTTTTTAAGAGACAAATATAGTCCTAATACCTAAACAAGGGAAGAATAAACCAAAGAGAGACTACTATAGATGAGTATCATTAACAGATATTGATTTAAACATTTTAAATGAAATCCTGGCAAAAGGTATTATAGCTATTTATTTTAAAAATCATTCACTATGATCAAGTTAAATTTAAATCAAGTATTCAAAGACAATTCAATACTAGAAATATAATTAAGATAATCATGAAAAACAAAGATATTATAAACCAAATGATTATATAAATAGATGCACAAAAAAGCAATTTGATAAATTACGATACTCATTTATGCTATAAAACCCCTACAAAATCTATACATGAAGGCTTTTTTTAATATAATAAAAACTATCTATCTAAAACCAAAAGCAGATGTATTTAAAGGACTCTCTTGCCTGGCAAGTCAGTCTAATTGAAGCAGGCAAAACACCCTTCAGGGGCAAGAGTGGGGAGGGATAAGAGGCATCATGTGACAGACAAGTCAAGTCACTTCTAACAGCTTGACCACCCCTAAGACTTTAACCACTAGACCCATGGAAAGCATCCCCAAATTGCCACACCTGCTCCCATCCCAGCCCCTGCACTCATCCTTGAGGGGGAAAAGCATTGCAGAGAAAGGCTTCACTTTTCTCATCAAGATCAGAAATAGCTGCTGACTGGCCCAGCCCTCAAAATTATCATCTAGAGAAGGAACTGCTGTGTAAAAGAGGCCAGCCATCTCCACTAACTGTGAGCTATCACCACCACTTTGACCACCTTGTCCTTAACCCCAATTGAGATAACCCTGGACTCAACTCAAGAGCCATACAAATAGCAGTGCTTCCAGCACATTGCCTACAGCCATCATCCTAGGAACTAACTCCAATGGAGATGAAGCCTGGCAACTGCTCTTGTACATGATTTTGCTATAGCTACCTGAGACTCGAGAAAGTTCTTACTGGGGGCAGCTAGGTAGTGCAGTGGATAGAGCTCAAGCATTGGAGTCAGGAGTACCTGAGTTCAAATCCGGCCTCAGGTGCTTGACACTTACTAGCTGCATGACCCTGGACAAGTCACTTAACCCCCATTGCCTCAAAAAAAGAAAAAAGCCCTTACCATAACAGTCTTTGATACTGTCAAATGGTTTGACATCAGAATCTTATACGATTTTATAAGAGGAAATGAAATTAAAGAAGAAACATTCACCATCTGCTTTGCTGCCCCATCGGAATGCATTTGTCTCCCACATCAGATTGTGAGCTCCTTGAAAATAGGAACTGTCTCATTTTTCTATTTGCATCCCCTGTTCTTAGTACAATGTTTTGTACATATTAAGCACTTAATACTTTTCCCATTTTCATTCATTCATTATTATGCTATAAGAATTGATGAATATGATGAATATAGAGAATCATAAAAACATTTAGATGAGTTGGTGAAAAGTAAACTAAAAAGAACTAGGAAGATAATGCACCAAGTGATGGGAAGGAGAAGGAGGGAGGTGAGGGAGTAGGAGGAAAGGGAAGAGGAGGGGGAGGAAGAGGAAGGGAGGACAGAAAAGAGGAAGAGGGGGGAGGGGAAGGAGGAGGAGGAGAAGGGAGAGGAGAAAATCTTCAGAATTTTCCTAAGACAATTCCAAAGGAAACAATTCAATTTCCTTGCATGGCACTGGTATACTGTTCAGTTTCATAGGCATGCAACAATAAGGTCAGTACAATGACTCTGTAGGCCCTCAGTTTGGTAAGCTGTTTAATACCCCTTTTCTCTCACACCTTCTTTCAGAGCTTCCCATACTCTCAGCTAGCTCTGGCAATATGTACGTTAACCTCATCATCTATGTGGATAATCCTAAAAAGTGTACTGCCAAGGTAAGTGAACCTCTTCACAGCATTCAAAATTTCTCCATTTGCTGTTACTGATGACTCCACATATGGATCCATATAAGGAGATACAGTAGATAGAGCTAGGAGTCAGGAAGACCTGAGTGCAAATGTTACTTCAGACACTTATTAACTAGTAGGGACTTTAAGCAAATCATTTAACCTAAGTCATCTATAAAATGGGCATAATAATAGTATCTATCTCACAGGGTTAAGGGAATCAAATGAGATAATGTATAGAAAGTGATTCATAAACTTTAAGGTGTTATATAAAAGATAGCTGTTATTATTAGCACCACTAAGCTGATTGTGGCTCTTCAAAAATGTTTTTACTTAAGTCATTATTGAGCAATTAATTTAGAAAATACATGCCAAACATCTTATAAATCTGCTAGTGTTGGATTAGAGTATGCCCTGACTAGGAAAGGGGAAGAAGAAAGGGAGGGAGGGAGGGAGGAAAGTGGGGGTGGGAGATAGACAGAGACAGAGAGAATGAACATTTGTAAGAGCTTGGTATGTAGCAGTTACTGTGTATACAATTACAAATAAAAGCAAGAAAATATTCCCTGCTCTCAATGAGCTACATAACAAGGAGGGAAGACAACATATAAAGAGGAGTTAAAGAAAAAAAGCTTAGGAGAGGCAGCATGTTGTGGAGATGGCAGGAAATAACATAGAGGCCTGGTTCCAGGCAAGATAAAGTAAAAACTTACCTGTTGGAGATCCATTTAGTAAATAGTGTATTCAGACTTAATGACAGGCCAAGGCCAAGGCATTTATGATGAGCTGGGGAAAGGTTAATTTGAAAAAACAAACTGATCACATGCACAAACACATTTACAAATAGTTTGACAGTGTTAAGGATTTGTGTCAGCTACCAAAATCCATCCAAATGATAGCCAGGAAATACCACTCTAAGGCTGAGGTTTATTTTTTAGTCTAAGGTGTTGTCACATAAAAGTAAGGATACATGGCATAAGAGAATTCAAAATCTGAATCCCAGAGCAAGAAGGGACCTCAGAACTGATTCAGCTGAACTGCAATCTCAGCAAGAATTCAGTCTACACAGGAGGCACAGCTATGATCACTCAGTGTAGCCTAGAGAACATTGTATACAGTAACAGCAATACTGTTTTAAGAACTCTATGGGACTATAAAGCACATATGAAGAAAGATGCTATGCTAATGGTAGCCATATCTAGGGTGGGGATGGGGGTGGGAAGGAAGAAAAGAGAAGGAAATTTACATGATAATTTTGTTGTATATTTGAAAAGAATAGCAGATTGTGCATAATAGATTTGCAGTTTCATGAGCAATCACGTTTTTTACTGCTATATATTATGGAAATGCTTGTTTTATTCCATAAATTAAAAATGAGATTTCAAAAAGAGATTCCATTAATGTCTTTAGCCACCATGAAATCATAGATATAGATCTAGCTAGACCCTTGGGGACCAGCTAGTCCAACTCTAATCTTAGAAAGGAGGCAATTACCCAGAGAGGTAAGTGATTTGCTCAAGGTCATATAGCTAAGATCACATGATCCTAGGCTTACATAGTTTGAGCTAGAAAGTAACTTAAAAGTCTTCTAGTCTAAGGCCCTCATTTTATAGATGCAGAACTGAGCCCCGAAGAAGCTAAGTGATTTATCCAATCCCACACCTGTGCGAGGGCTCAGTGTCAACTCCTGGTCAGTTGACTCTAAAGCTAGTACCCATTCTGCTACATCATTCCTGACAGCTGAGCTTTCCGTTCACTGCTACTACTGACATGCATTGAGCTTGGGGTTCCCTAACATCTCCAGAGCAAATTTTAAAGTATATATAGTACTCTCACTTCAACTTCATATCATTGGTTTAGGCCCTTTGTTGTAGCCTATCAGGGTCTTCTTATATCCTCACTCTGCCGCCTAGAGAATTAACTCTCTATCTCAGCAATCTCTCTGCATTTCCAGTAGGGTTTTTCAAAGTGACATGATTTGGGTCAGAGTAACATGAAGTGAGAATTCACACAGGAAACGTTTCTACTTTGTTATCAGTGCTTAGCATGGCTTTGCATTGGGGGCAGGGAAAAAATGTGGATTACAGTCAGATTAAGAGAGTAGCTAACTCTGTTCTCTCTATCCAGACCAACCATGAGGCACAAGTGAGCCCTACAAATTCCTCTAGGAGAAGCTGAGAGCTGCAGTTTTACAAGGACCATAAATGAGAAGTCAAGAAAGAGCTTACCCATGCCATCAAGGAAGATTGAACATTTCAAATACTATTCCCTCCTACTTGACAAATTAGGAATTCATCTGGAACATTCTGGTTTGGAGCTCTTGTGATGAAGTTATTGATTCTCTTTCCTTGTCCCTAGAATTCCCTGAAGAAAATATCAAGAAAGAAAGTGAAGATCCCTCCTCTCCTTCCAGGGGAAACCTTCTAGGTGACTGCTTGCAAATCTGGGAGACAAAAAGCAGGCTCTCAGCTTAGCATAGGAAGAAGTCCCAGGACAGACTACCAGGCTTGGCAGGTTAATGGACTATTTGCTTTAGGAGTTTGCAGATATTAACAAGTTGCTTTCTACATCTACTTGACTGGATTCCCATAAGCAGACATGTCCCAGTCTGGGAAGACTAAAAGAAAGCAGATGAAATTCAAGGAGGTAAAATGTTTTCTTAGATCCAGGTTCAGCGCAAACGATCGAATCAGAGATGTCCAGGGATTCTCTGAGATATATTTAACAGCCCTCAAAGGAGAGAATCACCTTCCTGTTGGGTCTGGAGCTGAAAAGATGGGTGTCAGAGAACTCTGGCTCCTAGACATTTCTTTTACAATCAATTCCACTATACTTAAAACAAGGTCCATGCAATTAGATCAAACGAGACACTCAATGCAGAATTTAGCCAACCCAGCTCACCAAGCATAAAATGGTGAAGCAGATGACATAGAGAAGTGGCCCTCCCCTTGCCCTGACCTACAGTACAACTTAGACTTATATTGAGGGCAGGGAATAGGGAAGGATCTGATAGGCAAGATTGTATAATCACAACCAGATTCTCCTGGTCCAATGGGCAAATTAAAAATATCTACATTCTTCATTTGCAACAAAAAGCTTTTGGTAAGCACTTGATTACTTGTGATGCTATCCATGAAAGGGACTGTACAAAATGAACAAGGAGCTAGCTGCTAAAAAGGTGAGGGGCAGCTAGGTGGCACAATAAATAGAACTCCAGCCTTGGAGTCAAGAGAACCTGAGTTCAAATCCAGCCTCAGACACATAACACTTACTAGCTGTGTAATCCTGGACAAGCCACTTAACCCTGATTGCCTCACTAAAAAAAAAAAAAAAGAATGTAGGTAAAATGTGGGTTTAACATGAAACAGATAAAAACACTTCATCCACATTTCAATATTTTAAGCACCTGGAATGTCTTTGGTGTGGGCCCTTTCCCCAGTGACACAGATTGCAATCTCTTTTAAAACTCAATAATTGAGAAGCAGTGACTTGCTTGAGCTCTCCCCCAAACTCCTCCAAATACCTGTAAAAAATGGCTCTAAATGAATTCTAGAGCAACAGAACCCACAAAAACATAGAGTGAAACAAATTTCCAGCTCAAGACAACCTGGATGGTTGATTAAAAAGGTCTATTGCACCGGATTGAGAGAGAAGCGCGGTTCGGCATGGGCCCATAGATAAAGACTAGGCCTCAGCAAACCTGGAGCAGGCCTCAGGGGACTTAATCATAGGCAGCCATGGTGGTTTCTAGACTTATCAACCCACAAACACCAAAGACAACTTAGAAGGTCAGTAGGAAAAGTCTGACCATGGTGAGAGAGAAGCTTGGTCCCATCCCCAGTCCTAGTGCAGCCCTGGGGTGGCCTCTGCTTCTAGAGCTTCAGGCCCACAGACTGAGAGGGAATTGAGTGGCTGATCAGAGGGGGATTGCTGGGATCCCTCTGCTGGTGTTGAGGCAGGATTCTCTTGCTTTGCCTGTGCTTGGATCTGGGTCACAGTTCTGGGCAACAATCCTGAGGTGAGGAGAAGTGCTGGCATGACATAACTTGTAGTGGTGGTAGAGAAGAAATCCTCCTTACAGTTCCAAGGCAGAAAAGAGTGTTTGTGGTCACTCATAAACCAAAGCACAGTCCAGGAGAGGGGTGAACACCTCACCCTTGATCATACCACCTTGGAAGACCTGAAAAATTACAGGTCCCTAAGAGTATCTCTGAAAACAGCTGCACAAAACCCCTGGAGCTTGGGACAGTATATTCTCCACAATGGAAGCATACCCCTAACTTAACAAAGAGTTTAAAACTCAAGAAATTGTCTGGGATCATGAGCAAACTGTGCAAAAAGAGTCAGACCATAAAATACTACTTTGGGGACAAAGAAGATCAAAACATACAACCAGAAGAAGATAACAAAGTCAAAGCTCCTACATCCAAAGCCTCCAAGAAAAATATGAATCGGTTTCAGGTCTTAGAAAAGCTCAAAAAGGATTTTGAGAAGCAAGTAAGAGAAGTAGAGGAAAAACTGGGAAGAGAAATGAAAGTAATGCAAAAAAATCATGAAAAACAAGTCAACAACTTGCTAAAGGAGACCCCAAACATGATGAAGAAAATAACACCTTAAAAAATAGCCTAACCCAAATGGCAAAAGAGGTCCAAAAAGCCAATGAGGAGAAAAATGTCTTGAAAAGCAGAATTTATCAAATGGAAAAAGGAAGTCCAAAACCTCACTGAAGAAAATACTTCCTTAAAAATTAGAATGGAGCAAGGAAGCTAGTGACTTTTTGAGAAATCAAGATATTGTAAAACAAAACCAAAACAATGAAAAAATAGAAGACAATGTGAAATATCACATTAGAAAAACAACTGACATGGAAAATAGATCCAGGAGAGAGAATTTAAAAATTATTGGACTATCTGAAAACTGTGATAAAAAAAAATAGCCTAGGCAGCACCTCTCAAGAAATTATCAAGGAAAACTTCCCTGATATTCTAGAACCAAAGGGTAAAATAGAAATAGAAAGAATCCACAGATCACCTCCTGGAAGAGATCCCCAAAGGAAAACTCCTAAGAATTGTAGCCAAATTCCAGAGTTCCCAGGTCAAGGAGAAAATATTGTAAGCAACCAGAAAGAAACAATTCAAGTATTGTGGAAACACAATCAGGATAACACAGGATTTAGCAGCTTCTGCATTAAGGGACCACAGGGCTTGGAATATGATATTCCAGAGGGCAAAGGAAATAGGATTACAGCCAAGAATCACTTACCCAGAAAAACTGAGCACAATCCTTCAGGGGGGAAAATGGACATTCAGTGAAATAGAGGACTTTCAAGCATTCTTGATGAAAAGACCGGAGCTGAATAGAAAATTCGACTTTGAAAAATAAGACTCAAGAGAAGCATGAAGAGGTAAACAGGAAAGAGAACTCATAAGAGACTTATTAAGTTTGAACTGTTTACATTCCTACATGGAAAGATAATATTTGTAACTTATGAGATTTTTGTCAGTATTAGAGCAGTTGGAGGGGAAAAAACCATTATATGTATAGATAGATTGATAGATAGAAGGCACAGGGTGAGTTGAAGATGAATGGGTGATATCTGGAGTAAAATTAAGGGGTGAGAGGATTATACTAAGAGAAGGAGAAAAGGAGAGGTAGAATGGGGTATATTATCTCACATGAAACAGACAAGAAAAGACTTTTTACAGCAGAGGGGAAATGGGGGAAGGTGAGAGGGAATGAGTGAATTTTATCCTCACCAGATTTAGCTTAAGGAGGGAATAACGTACTCAATTGGGTATGGAAATCTATCTTGTCCTACAGGAAAATAGGGAGGAAGGGGATAAGAGAGTGGGGGGGATAGGGCCGACAGGAGGGAGGGAAGATTGGGGGAAGGGTAATCAGAAGGAAACACTTCTGAGGAGAGATAGAGAGAGAATACAAAAAACAAGGGGGGGTGGAAGAGGATGAAGGGAAATATAGTTAGTTTTCCATAACATGACTACTATGGAAGTGTTTTGCATGACTACACATTTATAACCTGTATCGAGTTGCTTGCCTTCTCGATAAGGGTGGGTGGGGAAGAAGGAAGGGAGAAAATTTGGAACCCAAAGTTTTAAAAACAAATGTTAAAAATTGTTTTCACATGCAACTGGGAAATAAGATGTACAGCCAATGGGTTATAGAAATCTATCCTACCCTACAGGAAAATAGAAGAGGAAGGGGATAAGAGAAGGGGGGAGAGATAGAAGGGAGGACAGATGAGGGGAAAGAGTATTCAGAATGCACACTATCTTAGCGTTGGAGGAGGCATAAGTTGGGTAGACGATTTGAAACTCAAAATCTTGCGGAAGTGAATGTTGAAACCTAAAAATAAATAAATTTATAAATCTTAAAAAAAAACTCAATAATTCAACTCAATTCAATGAACATTTGTTAAGTGACTACTATGCAACAGGAATGCTAGATATTGGGACTACAAAGACAAAAGCGTAACCATCCCTGACTTCAAGAAAACTATTCTACAGCAAAGAAACATAACCTTTTAAAAAATACAAAATGTATCCAAATAAATACAAAGTAATAACAGGGATAGCACTAACAATTGGGGAATCAGGAAGATTCCTGAGGGTCAAGAAGATCGACACCTTAAGAGCTGATAGGTAAATTGAGTTTAAAGTAGCCAAAGGTAAGGAGGGAGAGCATCCCAGTCTGGATAGAATCTAGACTGCTTGAGAGAGGCTTTTTAAGATTTGACTTTAAAAAATCATTATTTTTCTAGCAACCAGGTGATTAGCCTTTATGAAATTCTCTAAGTCCGTCTTGAGACAACTGACAACTTTTGTCACAGGCCCCATAAATACAGAATTATTAAGAATATGGAAGAGCAGCTAGGTGGCACAATGCACAGAGTGCTGGGTATGGAGTATGGAAGACTCATCTTCCTCAGTTCAAATCTGGCTTCAGACACTCACTAGCTGTGCAGCCCTCAACAAGTCTCTTAACCCTGTTTTCATCAATTCTTCATCTGCAAAATGAGCTAGAGAAGAAAATGGCAAACCACTCCCATATCTTTGCCAAGAAAACCCAAAATGCGGTCACAAAGAGTCCAACACAACTCAAAATGACTGAACAATGACAACAATAACAAAGAATATGGAAGACCTCTATACGTGAGCAGCAAAAAGCAGTGGGTTACAACACTTACAGATCAGAAGCAAGAAAATATAGGGGTTCTCTGCTTTTAAAGAATCTTGGAATTACATGCATATGCTTATAAGAACATTAAAAAGAGACTCACATATAGAAGGAATATTTTAAAAATTATTTTATTTCATTAAATATTTCACAATTACATGTAAAATAATTTAACAACCATTTTAATTTTTTTTTACAAATTTTCTCCCCCTCTTTCAATGTCTGGTCCCTCTTTGAGAAGGCAAACAATTTTATTTCATTTATATATGTGAAGTCATGCAAAAAATATTTCCACATTAGCCATGTTGCAAAAAAACAAACAAAATAAAACAATAAAAATACATTTTTTAAAAGTATACTTTGATCTGACTCAGAATGCATCAGTTCTCTCTCTGGAGGTGGATAGCATTTTTCATGATGGGTCCTTTGGAATTCTTTTGGGTCATTATCTTGATCAGAATAGGTAAGTCTTTTACCATTGAGCATCCCTACAATATTGTTGTTACTATGTACAATGTTCTCTTGGTTCTGTTCACTTCACTTTATATCAGTTTGTATAAGTCTTCTCAGTTTTTTTTTCTGAAACCATCTTGCTTCTCATTTCTTATAACACAATAATATTCCATCACAATCATAACCTCAACTTTTTTAGCCAATGCTCAACTAATAGGCATCCCCTCAATGTCCAAGCTGTAAATATTTTTTGTACACATAAATCATTTTCTCTTTTCTTTTATCTCTTTGGGATATGAATTCAGTAGTGATATTGCTGGGTTAAAGAATATGCACAGATTTATAGCCCTTTGAGTATAGTTCCAAATTGTTTTCCAGAATGGTTGGACTAGTTTACAGCTCCATCAATAGCATGTTAGTGTCTCATTTTCCCACATCCCTTTTAGCATTGGCATTTTCCTTTTCTCTCGTGTTACCCAGTCTGATAACT